GGGGGGGGGGGGAAGGCCATACCTTCAGCAGTTCAGCGCCACGGCCGTGGGCTTGAAGTGGCCCACTTCCCGTCTAGACTCTGCTGTGTGGCACCGTTTTCGGGCATTACGGTTTTTGTTGTCACGCGTTCCGGCGGTTGTTTCTCGGCCGGGGTGGCGCCAAATTTTCGCTGTAGATGCTCTTTTGCTGCGGGGAAGGGGTGTTTCGCCGTGTGCCCTCTGAACCTGCCAGGGCTTGGGTCATTTCGTTTTCTGTTATGGAGGGAAAAAACTTCGGGAAAACGCCTGCGAAGAATTGCACGACCGCTGGATAAGAACGCCGATGGCCCTAATAAGGCGGACGTTCCTTTAAAGCGCATTTAGCACTATTTATCTTCGGTTTTCTCGGAATTGGCTTCGTGTCTTGATCTCAAAGCGCCGTTTTTTCAGATCGATTTGCCGCAAAAAGTCCGACATGTGTTCCGTTGCCGGGGTGAGATGGCCACCCCGTTGGAATTGACGCGTCTTCCCATGGGGTGCAAGGCACGCCGAGAGATTCTGCAGCTGGTCACTTCGGCGATTGCCGGAGCTCCGGCTGTCACTCTGCCGAAATGGGCTTCACCTCCCCGTTCTGCGCATTGAGGTTTGGGTAAGAAACATGCGTCTTTCGGGCAACCGGGTGGCAGTCGTCGGTTGTGAAACTATTGCGCTAAAGAATGGGAAAGGTTGTGGTGCCACCATCGGCGGGTTCGAGCCAGCGGTTTTTTGTTACGCCTTTTTTTTTGAGGCACGCGATTCAACCACAACGCCGGCGAAGTTTCTTTGAGCGGCTGGCCCTTTTGCCCTTTACGAGCAACCCCCCTCCATCCAAGATTGCCATAGCAGTAACGGCGGCGCCCCCCCGGATGCCACGAGCCGCGGCGGTTCTTAACCTACGGCTATGCCATTTTTGTTTCCTTATAAGGGGGGGCCGGCGTCGCTTCGCGGGTTTGCGTGGCGGTTTGGTGGGTGCCAAAACGCCCGCTGTGCTGCGGCCCTCTAGCATTCGCTTGGCGCGGGGGTTGTTTGAAACCTTTTTGAAAAGCGCCCCGCGCAGCGCAGAGCCTATTAATTTTTGCCCCCGGCAGCTTTGCCCATTGCGGGCGCGCTGCTGTCTTGATGGTGGCGGTGTTTTTGCCGTCTTCTGGTGGGGTGTTTGTTGTGGGTGGGCGCCGGCGGTGCGCCCCACCGCTCGTCATGGGGGCCGGGGCGCGCGCTGTGCTTTCGCCTTTCTCTGGCTGCACCCCCCTTTTCCCATTGTATTTTGTGGATTTTGGTGGATAACAACTCTTTGCGAGAAACTGCTTCGAAGGGGTCGGTAAAATCTTATGCCCTTGCATTGGGGGCTTCAAAGGTTTTTGTATTCTTGCCACTTTGCGCGTTTTCCCAAAGATGGCAACCTAGCGGGTGGTTTGTCGCGCGGAAAGATGCTCATGAATAATGGCTTTGCGAAAGGGTGCAACAAGCGAAAGATAACTGCGGGTTCATGACCTCTGCGCGTCGAGGCTGGAAAGCTGCCCTTTTGCAAGCAACACATGGTAATAAATGGGTGAATATTATATATACATTTAATGTAGTTACACGATTTCTATCGTGCTGTACCTATTGTTAACGTTTTTGCGGGCTCTGTGTAGTTTAATATTTTTCCTCGATGTTTTCCCTGGACTCTTTCTTTTGGGTCACGCGGAAATCATTGAAAAAAAAATTGCAAGCCATGAGTTTGTACCATTTTACATTTCCAATTATTATGCGTCTTTGTGCAGTCTATGCTTCCCTACAAAAGCCAATTCGGATATAACCAATCCCGCCAGAAATACTTAATGTTCTGGGCGTCTAAAATTGCATTCGCAGAATCCTGGAGCCAGAGGCCGTGGCCTGTTTGGCGTTGTGGTGGTTTGTGGGCATTTTTGTCCAGTATATAAAACCGTTGGAAGCCACGAGTTCATTAACTTCCGTGCCCCAGGGGAACATCAAACAAACACGCTCCAATACGCATTCTAAACAGCTTGCAATGGAAAAGGTCTAGCATTTAACGGCGTTACGGCGATAGCAAAACAATATGTCTTTGATCCGCTCGTAGCTTTAACCGTACCCCGTGGCAAATTAGGCAAGTTTCGAAGAAAAGTCCCAGAGATAAGTTTATACACATGTCAAGCACCGCGGCGTTCCTATGACGAGGCGGGGCAGCAGACAACTGCGCGGACACCTGCGGCTTTCGCGCCGCAAAATGGACCCACAGCATTTTTATTTTAGATGCGCCATTCCGCGCCCCCGAATTTGCAGTGTCACATTTATGTTTTACTAACCATGGGGAACAGCACACCAGCGGCAAACATGGAACCGAACAAGGCGTTTGTCTCAGAAGCCCTGCGCCACCCAATGGCCTCCTTCAGAGTGCCGTGCAACCCAGGATTTCCACGAGCCTTTGGGGAGGAACACCCAGTGCTAAGCGCCAAAAGGGCAGCATTGGGTACAGAACAATCTTGCTCAATGCGCCAGTGCCATTGCGAAAGGCCCCGGCCAGCGGATTTTTTTTTTGCTTCTTCTTCCTCGTGCAGTTTTACGGCCTGCTGTCGCTGCCCAAATGGGGAAAGGAGAAAATGAGTGTGCGCATATCCGCCGCGCTGGGGCGGGTTATGTGAGACTCGGCGGTGGAGAAACCCGCCCATACCCACTAAAACCCCCTGATCGTGGGGATCTTTCAATCCACGGGCTTGGGCGACACCAGCAGCACGGTGTCCCAGAGGGGCGGTCTCCGGTTGGGCCCTCCGCTTGGCCCCTGGAAGGCCAGGTCGCGTTCTATCCGGAACATCACGCAGTTCCCGGGAGAACTATAGCGTATGGCATTGGATTCCCCAGTCCGAGAAACCGGGTACTCGACCGTGAAACTTATTGATTGGTAGCGTGCATTTTTCCTGAAGGCCCTCCGTTCAGGCACTTTGCCCATTGCAAAACGCCGCCTTATGTGTGCGGTGCCCAACTGCGCCACCCCAATAAGTAGCGACCGTATCGCGGTGCATCCCGAAGAAAGCCGGATTCGGTGTTGCAGTTGTGAAAATTTAGCTTCCTAAGTAATGAACTCAGTAAAAGACCTTGGCGTCACGATGGGGCATTTCCGCGATACCAAGGTGTCTTTGTTTTTTTTTTTTGTGTTCCTGGTGTTTTCACGACTCTCGTCAATGGCTCCGCTCTTTTTGCCACCATCGTAGAGCACGTTCATTATTGCTTAATTTCTATGTGGAAGGGGTCCCTTTGTTTTGTTATGTATTTTGTTATTGTTGGTGTTTTTGTTTTGTGTTTTCTTGCTTTTGGTATTTTGTTCTCTGTTTCGTTGTGCCGGTCCAGCGAAAAACATGCGCTGGAGAATCGGTCGGCTCAGTGCTCTCAACTGGGCCGGTAACGCCTACTCGCCCCATTGGCCGTAGCTCTCCAAGGGGGGAAGCACATTCGGCGTGAGATCAACAAAAATATAGCGGGGAGATGAAGCTGAGAGGGGGGAGAGAGGACTATTCCTGGACCTGTATGGTTGGCGT